TAAGCTCTGGTAAAATCCTTTATTGCTTAAAATAAGCTGACCTAATAACTTCAATTGGCTACAAAACCACCAAATCACACTATGAATGATTGATCATACTAAAATTATAATCTACTTACACCTAAGTAATGATCAAAAGATATGATTCTATAATTAACATTATTACGTAAAAACTACTTTTTATTTTAAAAAAAACGAGAGCCTTAAAATAATCACATATGATGTATAACATCCGACATCTCTGCTACATTCTGACGGACAACTCTAGCGCCGCGCGCTCATTGGTCAAATATGGCGCGCTTTCTTTACTTCCTGTTACACATTTACGTCCCGTGAGAGACAAAATGTTACACATCTAAAATGCTTTTGATACTTATATTTTCAAGCTTTAAAGAAGGATTTATGTGTCTATTTGTAAGTTCAAAATCCCGTACAGTCTAAATACGTACACTTTTTATTTACTTATAATTTAAAAAATGATTAATTTAAATTATTGGAAGGGGTTTTCAGTCTAAATTATAATGCAGTGTATTATAATAATATACCGTGTGGTGACGGATTAAGACCCCTATTCATCACGTAGGTGTCGTATGAGCCGACTAAGGGAGCAAACTACGCAGGACCACAGCACTTCAAAGAGAAGGAAAAATTGAGATAAACCCTATACCAACCTGTCTGGCCAGCGTGGTATAGTAGGCCAAAACCTCCTTTCTAAGGAGAGGCCTATGTCCAGCAGGGGACTAAGGCTGTTGATGATGATGAACGATTTGTTACTATCATAACAACAAAAACAGATTTGTAACTATTAGTTAATGACAAAAACTAATATTAACAAACGCTGGTTTTGTAGTAAGAGTTACTCTCAGAAATTGATTTGAATACGAATTAATAACTTAATAACAAAAGTTTGTTCGGGATTTAGTCGACAAATTGTTTTTCGTTTACCTTTGTTCACCCTGTCGAAGACATAGAAGTGTATGTATGTTTCGATCACTCAGTATGTGATCACGGCCAGTGAAACCTTGTCATCTCATCAATAGCCTTTAGTAGTCCACTGTTGGACATAGACCGCTCCTTAGAAAGGGGGTTTTGGCCTACTATACCAAGCTGGCCAGACGAGTTGCTATAGGGTTTGTTTCAAGTTTTCCTTCTCTTTGCAGTGCTGTTGTCTTGCGTAGTCCAGACAACTCAAAGTTATGTAATTAACACCTGTGTAATAATCTAAACGTTTATCTAAACAATACTAAACATAAAATTACTTCCCTTAACTGACTGAATTATCAACGTAGATCCTAAACCGCTGGGGCTAAAAACTAGACATTTTTTGAAAGGATTTTTGGAAATTATACCTTTAAAGGGGTAAAATTAGAGACGAAGGGTTGTGTGAAGAAACACGAAATAAGGAACATAATTATTAGTCATGGATCGCGTAAGTTTAAAAAGTATTATTTGTTATTATTGCATTTCTGATATGATACTAATTCTCTATACAGATAGTTTTATAATCATTTAACTATTAATAACATTACAATCAATTATATATATCGAAATTAAGAGCTTTATAGCTTTTTTTTTTGGTATTTACGTAAACTAGCGTGCATAAAAATAGGTCACCTAAGTAAAAACATTTTTTTTTTGGTTTTTTGCTTTTAATATATATATGTATATAATATATGAGGAAATAGATCACCTGAGGGCCAAGTGCGAGTTTATTTCACTTCTATTCTATCGTCACGGTGACCGCGTTCGGTGCTACGATTGGCCCGCACTGAAATCTCCACCAATCGCATCGGTAAACGCATTGGCCGCCGACAGCGAGTCGTTATGAAATAAACTTGTCAGCCCTCTGCCCTCTGATGGGAAGTGAGCCCCGCTGCCCAAACCTGCAACTCATGAGTTTACAAGTGGATGCCGCTTTTGAGAACCGCTCAAGCCCCAGAAGTAGAGGGGAGGAGAGTTAGTTTTGGCTCCGGTCACCTCACTCTGACTAACGAAAAAATTACTTAAGACAAGTTTTTCTGTGAGACTGTTATGTCACTCCGGTAGAGCTGGCCCCATCTAGATGATATTTTTTCAAACAAAATAAATTGCATTATTTATAAATGACATCTTTAATAAAAGGTTACAAATTATGTATAGGGTTACCATTATTTCTATGCACGCCAGTTTATGAAACTTCAAGAAATTACATGAAAAAGATGACGAGACAAAATTGATTTGAATCAACTCACTACTTTAGTTAATTCGCGTTAAGAAAAAAGTGACGCATCGCACAAGCCCCGCCCCCTGACTAATCAGGTGTCAAGCTTTCGTACGAAACGATAATTTCTTGTAACGTGATCGGTCAGGGGGCGGGGCTTGATAGATACGTAACTATTTTTTTAACACGAATGGACTTAATATTTCTAATAAGTACCACTTACAAACAAAAAATTATATGTACAAATATTATTCTTACAAAAAAAACAGGGCAGTATCTTTTAAACAGTCTTTTTGTCAAATTAAATTTAAATAAAAAAAAACTTTGGTTTAGTGAGACTCTATGGATTACTTGAGATTATGGAGGGTAGAGGCGAGTTAAATTGGGGGCGGGCGCTACAGTAGCAAAAGGATAATTTATGGAAAGAAATATATTGGATTAAATAATAATTAGACAGTGGTGCTAATTCTGAACTAAACTAAAAATCATTAAAAATGAGTTTAGTCCAGTCAACTACTATTTTTTCAGAATACGAAACGTTTTTTAACAGGACTAAACTAACTTTAAATGATTTTTAGTTTAGAGAGTTTTTGAACAACAGAATTAGCACCACTGTGTACTAGACTGCGAAAATAGTTAATAAGTTTTACAGACAATAAAACTAGTATAATATTTGAACTCAGCACACTTCACACCGTCTACAACAGCTATGTTCATATCGTAGTTTTTCGTACGACAGCGACCTCTATTTTCAGTATACAGCTGGACACTTTTTCAACTTTCCCTCTTATGAGATGGTTCTTCTTGCCTCTACACTACATACTTGAAAAGTGTAAAACCAAATACTTAGGATAAATCAGATTAAAGTGACCTTATGTAGTTGAACATAGTGATGTAACGAATAACCGCTGCTATCTGGAGGTTAATTATCTTAATAAAAATGTAATAAAAAAACAGTTTCGATCAACTTTCGATCTCACAGCTGTATATAGCATAAAAGGTATTTTCGTAGTAAAGTATTGAACATTCAACGTTGATTGATAGGAATATATCCTGTGTCGCAGGGGACTTTACAAACATATATGAAACGGACACAAAGAACACCCAGACTCAGAACAACAATTTGTAGATCACACAAAGTGTCGTCCCATGTGGGGTTTATACGCACATCACTCGGCGTAGTAGGAAGCGGCGTGACGACTACTTAAACCACTACGCCATCCGTGCAGTCTTAGTAATACTTTACTACGAGACTGCCTTTTAATTCATTTGTGAGATCGAGAGTACATCGGAACTGAATTTTGATAGAATTTTTGGTACGAGGATTGACCTGCCGAAAGTACACAAACTTATTTTTTTTTTAATTATTACTCAAGATATACTCATAGTAAGCTGACTGACTGCTAGTTCTATTAGATTATCGCATTTAAACAAATAAAGCTTAATAATATTAGAATAGATATTCAGTGACTGGAAAAAAAATGCATGTTTTATAAAAAGTTAAAGTATACTGAGCATAGACAATCAGTCAGTTTATCTATGCGCAGTGACCATAGGCAATCAGTCAGATGTCAGTCACTTTGTCTATGGTCAGTGACTAAAGACAATCTGACCAAAAAAAACAATTGTAAGAAGTATTTATACCTAATTATACAATATTATTGCGTTACAATCGAAATTGTCTAATTTTAATATCATATTTTAATTATTTTTTCTCCTAACATTCAATCTCTTATATTAGATAAGAAAAATCAATTTTACAGTACAACTTATATTTGCGTTTTTTATGGAATAGTGGGGAGGAGTGAGGAGACGACCTACCTGATGGCAAGTGACTACCACCGTTGCGAACTCAAGAGACATAACCATGTTGTCACCCTTTTGAGTGACCCCTAGAATCAGAGGAGGGAGGAGTGATGCCGTGTCCTACACTCGGTAAAAAGGAATTTAAGCTTCTTAGCGGTTTTCTGTGAGGATGTAGTATCATACTTGTCCATGCCAATAATTAGAAAATATTAGTTGTACTGTAAAATAATTATTTTTTTAACATTATCAACATGTAATCAGTTTTCTAATTAGCACTTTCTAATTTTTTTCTTTATATAGAATATATAAATTTATAAATGTATAATACTTGAATGGAAAAGATTTAATACATACATACATACATAGAAATACATATATGTATATATTTTATCATGTTATACATATTATATATACAGTACTGAGCATAAAATATCCTATAGCCCATTCGCTTTAAGAAAATAGTGACGCATCTCTAAAACCCCGCCCCTGACCAATTAGGTTCCAAGTTTCGTACGAAACGTTAATTTCTTGGCACCTAATTGGTCAGGTTTGATAGATGCGTCACTATTGCGATTTTCAAATAATAATTTTTATAATAAGTAAAAATATATAGGTTTTAAGTATTATAAAAATGGCACAAGAAAACTGGACCAATTGTCCTACTTGGAAATTACAGACCGTATGGGTTAAGTGGTTACCGTTGCTAACCTGAACCCTTACAGAGCTCTGGTCCTACACGTCAACAGAAAACTTCTTAAATTTACATTTTAACTATTTTAAGAGTGATTTTTTTTCTTCTACGTAATATTTTTTTTCTATAATATATATGTGTGTGTGTCATTTAATATATATAATATAATTAATTCCTCAAACAGATAGAGAGAGAGCAACAATGTTCCGTCTCATTTAGAACTTATTCTTATAGATATTCGAACAGGTGTTTATTTAAAACAAACTTTAATACAATTAAGTATCTTTTGTGCCTCGTGGTTCTTCAATTTGCTGAAGTTTCTTTGCGAGCCGTGAACGATACTATAGAACGAATTCCTTTCACTGAAGTCTGTAAAAGAAATAAAATAAAATAAACAGTTAAATTTAAAAACATCTTACTTATACGAATAGTTTAGCACATTGCAAAATTAGAAAACCCTAGCCAGGTCATAATCAACAGCCTTTAATAGTCCACTGCTGGACATAAGCCTCTCCTTAGAAAGGAGGTTTTGGCCTACTGTACCACGCTGGCCAGACAGGTTGGTATAGGGTTTGTGTCAAGTTTTCCTTCTCTCTGCAGTGCTGTTGTTCTGCGTAGTTTTCTCCTTTAGTCGTCTCTTACGACACCCACGGGATGAATAGGGGTGGTGACACTCTGTATTCTTAATCCGTCACCACACGGACTAGCCAGGTCAGTTTATGGATATTTGACGAATATAAGAGTAGAGGACGACAAGAAGATATGGCCAGAAAGGGAGGTAAACAGTGAACTGACGAGTGATGGAGGAGTGGAAAAAGAAAACTCATTGCGTCGACCCACATTGATTTGGGGAATTTTATGAAGATGATGGTTCAAATATAAAACGGCGTCAGGGATCTATGGATCCCCGGTCGGAACGAAGTATAGCAAGTGTCGGAAAAAGTCTTGTTACACATTTTTCAGTCTCGCTCAGAGCGTATAAAGCGCGATAAGGAATTTCGTTCCAATAAATTAGCGTCTGTAAATTATATCCAGACATACATACACTCACGCTTTTATCCTCGAAGAGGTAAGCCAAGGCGTATTAAACACATACAATGGGGTAGATAATTGTCATGTCAAATCAGAATTATTTTATTAAACTTTAAAATACTATGGTGTGACGCCATACCTGGCTTTTGTTAAATAATTTAATAAAAACATTAAACTGATAATGGAGGACAATTCACGTCACATTCGAAAGCGAAATAATTTACTTTAAGCCCAGGAATCTACTCTACTCGTCACATCAACGGATTTAGTAGTTCACTGCTGGACATAGGCCTCTCCTTAGAGAAGGTTTTGGCCTTTTTTTGTTGAAGGGGTGGAAAATCCCTTCGGATCTTCCGCTCCTCGGAGACTCAGGAGCCAGGAGTGTGTGGTGATTCCACTAAAAACCACCCTGACGGCCGGCCTTAGGTGTCCTACTCTGGGAGGACCCGAACCATGTTAATTCAGGTCCTCCCCGAGAGAAGGTTTTGTCCTACTATACCACGCTGGCCAGACGGGTTGGTATAGGGTTTGTGTCAAGTTTTCCTTCTCTCTGCAGTGCTGTTGTCCTGCGTAGTTTGCTCCCTTAGTCGGCTCTTACGACACCCACGGGATAAATAATTAACTTAACTAACTACTAACTAACTAACTTAACTTAATCCGTCACCACACGGACTCTGAGTATTAATGATGAGAAAATTTGGAGTGTATTTATACTTCCAATTTCCGTAAAGGACAGTTCTGGTCAAGGATTCTAATCCAAACCAGTGCCAGGGCCTAGTGAGGTTTGGCGTTGTATTAGTTAAGTTTTCAGTGCGGACCAATCGCAATACCGAACGCACCAGGACCTCAGTACTTATATAGAATTTCATAACCAGTATATCATCATCAACAGCCTATACTAGTTCACTGCTGGACATAGGCCTCTCCTTAGAAAGGAGGTTTTGGCCTACTATACCACGCTGGCCAGACGGGTTGGTATAGGGTTTGTTTCAAGTTTTCCTTCTCTTTGCAGTGCTGCTGTCCTGCTCAGTTTGCTCCCAGTTTATAACTAAAAGAATAACATACCTTTTTCTTAGATCCATTGAGATAGTCTTTATACATCTCAGATCTCAAATATCTTGAATAGCTGTCAGACTTCATTAGATGGTACACGTGAGCCTGTAATAATAATATTTTAGGATTAGGACAACTAACACACAACGCCATCTGGTTTCAAACTAAGCAGAGCTTGTACTATGAAAGCTGAATTGTTTGTAAATACATACATATTGTACATAGAAAAATTACCCAAACTTCTAAAACAAATATTTGCATATCAATAATAATATATAATAACACAAACATTTGGTCCGACCCGGGAATCGAACCCCAAACCTCAGCTCAGCATTCGCATACACTGTAACACCGAGTCAGTCAATATTGATATTGATATGATTTGTCTTAATAATAGGTCTTTACCTATGAAATTGCCGTTTTATATGCAATAAGTGAAAGTACTTATTTTTTCAATCTTTTTTATTTCTGTTTTTCGAAGTAATCACCCATGCAATCGACGCATCTTTGCCAACGCATTGGCAGTTCATTGATGCCCTTCTTGTAAAAATCAGCTGGACGGGAGGCAACAAAGGCATTTTGTACTGCCTCTCGGGAATTGAATTTTTTACCCACTAAAAAGTTGTCTAAATTTTGGAAAAGTAATAGTCGGTAGGTGCAAGGTCTGGTGAGTATGGCGGATGAGGGAGAGCTTCCTACCCCAGCTTAATCATGTTTATAAATATGTACGTTTTGGAAATATTTGTAACTCTTTCACTAAAAAACGCTTAACGGTTTTTTTCCCTGATTCTCTAATTCTGGATGGGTAACTCAGTTGTGACCAGTCTGCTCGTTTGGCACCCTTATACCAAAAAAAAACGTAACAAATCTAAAGGATTTTCCATAACTATGAGGTATACTAACTTGAGCTTGGTCGAAGCAATATCTGTCCGCGGTCCCTGATTCCACTTTGACACGCGTCAGTTCCCTGAAAAATACAAATAAATATTTTTATTATGGTGAAGTATACCAAAAAAAATATTCAGGATGTAAATCCGTGACAGTTTCTTTCAGGAGAGGTACTAATAGGTACCTTAGGGTAGCAGGTGAGGGGTCGGGGTACCAGGGACTTCCTTTCTTTCTTTCTTTTAGAGCCTGTACTAGACTGCTGATAAACATTCTTATATATTTCTAACCAAATACATCCATACTTATATTTTAAATGCGATAGTGAGTTTGTTTGTTACGCGTTCACGCCTAAACCACTAAACTGATTTTGAAAATTCTTTCGCCAATGGAAAGCTACGTTATGAGTGAGTAAAATAGGCTAATTTTTACCGCGATAATCGACATACACGCGGGCGAAGCAGCGGGCGAAACCTAGTATTATAGATAATTTATCCTAGGTGGGAATCGAACCCACGACCTCAGGCTTAGCAGTCAGGGTTACTTATGAATAAACCAACAGGGCCGTAAAAGAACTGAGATGTATAATACCTGCTGGTGGCGTCAATATTAACAGGAGATGGAGCGTCAGCCGCGAGGTACTCCTTCCAAATTTCCTTGGCGCGAGCTGACACTCGACGTATCGGCAGCGCCTTCAACTCTTGGACCGCCAACCAAAACCTGGAAAAAGAGATGATTTAGTAGTAAAATTTATACTTAATAATATAATGATGTACCTCACACATCTCACACACGGCCGTCTGATCCCAAACTAGGCAGAGCCTGTATTATGGTAACCAGACTACTGATAAACATACTTATATATTTCTAAATACATACATATTATAGATAAATTACACCCAGACACAGAACAAATGACCGTGCTCATCACACAATATTTGTCCTGGGTGGGAATCGAACCCACAACCTCCGGCTTAGCAGTCAGGGTCACTAAGCACTAGATCAACAGGCCCGTCATTATATTAACGTAACCTCTATGCCTGTACCTTACAAGATACACCACCCAAAGTCTGACTGGAAGGGAATGGATTGGGCATTTAAGTCCGCCAATGTACAAAAGTGCATAAAGTTAAATATATAAATAAAATAACATTTTAAGCATTGTGGGGGGGAAGTAGAGGAAGAAAAAGAGAGGGGATGATATACATGATATACATACACATAAACAAGAATGATATACATACATACAATGATATACATACACATAAACAAGAAAAACGATTATTGTGCTGGTTGAGAATCCAACTCACGACCTGTGGTGTCAGCCAGGATACCAGGCAATAACTTACTTGAGATTCTCTCCGCTGAATTCCTTGGACAGAAACTTGGCGAAATGCTCCTTTCCAGCATTGTCTTGGAGAAGTTCTCGAAGACCAAAAGACCATCTACGGACCCGACGTAAAGGTAATGGCTCCTTGCTGAAAAGAAAATTATTTCGATGTTAGTTACCTAAAAAGTCAAAAACAGAAGCCAGATGGAGGAAAGCGGTTACCAGCAATGTTACAAAAGTGGGGAATAATTATGTTTTTATGGAAGAGGGAAAGGACATGCGGGTCACTTGATGGAAAGTGACTACCGCGGATCATGGACGCCTGCAACTTGAGGTAGAGATAGGCTCCTGAAGAATTAAAATAATATATATTATTACAAAATTATACTGTGGAGGTACGATATTGTTATAAAGAAAATTACGTCGGAGGCACATTAATAATAATACCTCCCACATCTCACACACGGCCATCTGATCCTAAACTAGGCAGAGCCTGTACTATGGTAACCAGACTGCTGATAAACATACTTATATATTACTAAATACATACATATTATAGATAAATTACGCCCAAACACAACAAATGACCGTGCTCATCACACAATATTTACACTTAACATCACAAAAAAAGCCATACCATTGTTTCTCTTGGTCCCACATCTCGGTGGTGTCGCTGATCCAAGGGTTGGGCCATTCCGGGGGTGTGAGGAATGCGTCGTATTCTGCATACTGCTCGCAGTACGCTATGAACCTGGAACAAGACAAACAAATGTGGAACTGTAAAATCAATTCAGTTTTTTATATAAGTAAGTATTTAATAGAGTATATAAAACTACCTGACCCACGAAACTTCTATTCACTTCAATCGCTTCGATGTTTATCGTTTATCGTTCCCGAGATAAAGGGTCTTGACAGACAAACAGACGGACAAAAAAGTGATCCTATTAGGGTTCCGTTTTTCCTTTTAAGGTACTGAACCCAAAAAAATGAAAATTAAATGCCCATTACTCTCAAACATAACAACAATGATAGGAACTTAAATGTGGGAGTGAGCAGCATCAATCCCAAGCAAATTTGTCATCTAAATAATCTGCGCTCAAATAGTTTTAGTTTTACTAAAGACAAATTTGTTAATACTTAATTCATGAAATATTCTTGGCATTTTATTGTAGAATCGCACACCCAGACATCGAAAAAAGACTTGTTTACTTTTTGTAGTCTAGTCGTTGGTAACACGAGTTTACCTTTATTTCTAGTGTTTATATTATGACTGTCGCTACACTTTTTGAATAAATGATTATTTTTCTTTACAAACACTAAATTTCACATATGTATTGAGATGCGAATTGCTTAACAACGGTTTTCTGTGAGGCCGCGATATCACTGTACCTTGGCACGCCTTTTTTACGGTATTTTCAAAATACAATAATGAGACCGATTACCAAACTTTTTATTAAAATGCAAAAAGGGGTACTCACATCTGAGCGACCTTGCTCACTCGCACGTTCCGCCTCTCAAGCCTGGCCTTGAGCATAGTGACCTGTCGCCGGGCCGCCTCTATCTGCTGCTCTATGGTGCGAGCCTTCTCTTTGGTATGTACCCCTGGTATGATACCGTCTTTCATGTCCGCTATTTCTGATTGAGATGGTTCCCCTAAAATATTTAAATTTTAACTTTAAGAAATATTGTTACGTGTTAGGGTTCGTTGATTCGGAATAATAAGCCTTATGACGACTAAAGAGACTTTATTATCACTACACTTAAAAATCAACAACACTCAATAATAGGAATGATCGCCGAGGTCGCTGGGTCACACTTCTATTCGCTTCAATGTTTATCGCACTGTAGCTCGAACTGAACTGAACTTGAAGACGTGTCCGCATTTATAATACTCGTAAAGGAACATTCCAGCAATTTCCAATCCCTAAATACTTACTTATTGTTCCGTGCCAACCTACATTATTATTAAACGGTTCCCGGAATTACGCGGTTAATCGAAGTTCCGCGAATCCCCGTGACAATATAAAAGGTATTATATACTAGGCTAAAAGTAATATGATAACTGCACAAATGGCAGTCTATGTGATGACGGATTAAGAATACGGAGTATTCATTCCATCTATTCCTATTTCTCTCGTGGGTGTCGTAAGAGCCGACTAAGGGAGCAAACTACGCAGGACACAACAGCACTGCAAAGAGAAAAATACTTGAAACAGACTCTATACCAACCCGTCTGGCCAGCATGGTATAGGACCAAAACGTAAGGAGAGGCCTATGTCCAACAGTGGACTGTTATTCAATCCCCACATGGGACAACACTTAGTGTGATCCACAAATTGTTGATGTGAGTCTGGTTGTTCTTTGTGTATATTTCATGAATGCTTGTAAAATAAGTCCCCCGCCATTTAGCATATATTCCTAGTGCGGCAGTTGTCTTTAAAAAAAACCCTAAGGGAACAGTACTTCGCGTAGCAATCGGGCTGATTGGAGCGGCGGGAAACTTGTGGCTTGCCCTAAAATAGTGCCTGTATCGAATTCGGACCTTGAAATCCCATGGTCCTGGTCCTCTCCAGAGAGTCTCAGGCACACATGTTAGTACAACTAAACCCATTCTTATAATTATAAATGTGGAAGTGAGTTGTTTGTTTGTTTTGTTTTAACCTAAACCACTTAACCGATTATAAAAATTCTTTCACCAATGTAAAACTACATTATCGCGAAAGCGGGCGGAGCCGCGGGCAAAAGCGTGTGACTATGTTTATCAATTATCATAATAGATTCAGCAGTTTAGGATTGTAAAGTGACAGACAGTTACTTTCGCAATTATAATTAGTGTCAATTTTCTTACCGTTCTCTTTGATTCCTTTCTCAGAGTTCTTCTGTATTTCGTCTTCACTCTCTTGTGGGTTTGTGATCGTCACTATTGGGTTTGTCTGTAAAAGAAAAAAGATTTTTTTATAATTTAGGTATAATAATTCGTGAACTAAGAACCACGCAGGTTCGGTTTCCGTGTAATGCAAATGACTGTACGCATGGCGTATTGGTTTAGGCAGTCACCTCGCCATTTCCTACTGCGTTGAGTGCTGTAGATTCGATCTCCATATGGAATAACACTTTTTGTGTTCCACAAATTGTTGTTCTGAGTCTGGGTGTACTTTGTGTCCGTTTACTGTATGTTTGTAAAGTCCCCGCAGAAGTAAACGCAGGATATATTCCTAGTGCGGGAGTTGTCTTTAAAAAAAAAAAATAAGTTTAGTTTGATGTTTGTACGCATGATTATGTCTACGTAAGACTACGTGTTGGCTTTAAGACTCTGTCCTCATCATCAATATTTTCCTGTTCTTTTCCTATTTGGAACGAAGATCCTTATCGCGGTTACAGACCGGGACCTGTCGAGATATGTCGAGACCGAAATATGTGTAACAAGACTTTTTTCCGACACTTTAAAATATATGTATTTTATACATACTAAATGGATTTGATCTTAATTTTTTCAATTGAACTCTTATTAACTTGATATTTTACAAATTATTATGACTATAGCAAACTTCTACCAAAAAGCGAAAGTACCTTTGTTCCGACCGGGGGTCAATAGACCCCTCATGCCGTTTTTTATATCCAGTCGGCGCATATCAACCCCCTCCCCCCTCTCTACCAATCAAACACCATCAAATGATTCGTCTGCTCGTTTGACCCCTACGGTATCCCTTACCTTCAAGTTATGCTGCAGTATCAACTCTTGGCACTGTCTCAGACGTTTGGCTTTCAGAGCGTTGATGCGGGACAGCTTCTTTGGGTCCATTTCAGTTGTGTTCACACAGCCCGGCTGTAATGTAAAGTAGTAAATATTTACTTTAATTTACTTACATTATATATTTCAAAATCAACATAATATAGCAGAATAACAAATAAAATATTTTAAACCGTAAGAAAATCCTTTTTTTGAGTATGAAACCCAACACATGAAAAGTAGCAAATGCAAGGAAAACTGAGGAAAACTACTAATTATTTTTTTATTATTTATATCTATATTGTATACAGTTAACACATAAATTACTTACAAATATATAGACGTAACAATCGGCGGTCTTATCGCTCTCGGCGATCTCTTACAGACAACCTTAATACGGATATTAGATATTTAAAAAGTTGTTTAGTTTATATACACGTAACGCATTATCACGTGAATATTTAAAAATATCAACAAATACACAAATATACATCAGTTCACATTACACATAGATAAATACACATACATACATAAATACATACAAAAACATAATATATACATATATATAGATGGATAGATAGATAGAACTCTTTATTTGTACACCATTTTACAAGAAGCATGATAGTTACATGAAAGTGTAAGATATACAATGTACAAAGGGCGGCCTTAGTGCTAAGAGCAATCTCTTCCAGGCAACCTTAGGATGGATCAAAATGTTCGGAAGAGATAGTAGTAGTTGATGGTGAAATGAGTTTTTCAAGTTAATTACTAACGAATATAAAAGAGATAATAACTACATATATATATAATATAAGAAATATACACACAAATATATATACACATACATACTTATATTCATAAAAACAAATACTTATACATACCAGTAAGTATACATATTTATATATATAAATTTAAAAAAAATAAAAAAAAATGGAGCCGTCGCGGAACGTCTGGCTTATGTGGAACATCGACATTATTTTGTAAAAATAATGATTATAAAAGCACATACATTATTCTATCACACCAACAGCAAAAGTTGGAGAATATACTCACCATGGGTCGGTGAACATCCCAGAAAGCCCGCTCTTGACTATCCAGCACCTTCCTTTCAAGTTTGTCACGCTTTTTATCCACCTATAACATAAAGATTAAGTTAAGTACTGCATTGTTGCGTAAAAGTATTTTCCATATGGCATCCCTTATATAGAATAAACTGCTATAGTTAAACCGCCGTAAGCTTGGCCCTCCTGATGGTTTGCGGGACGCGGGGCGGGGGTGCATTCAACCAATTAGCTAGTGCGTCGCTGTCCGCCGGCAGTGACTGACGTGAAAGCATGGCTGTACGTGTTATTTTTCTTAAGACTGCTACACACGGTATTATTTTGCAACATGGATAATCTGCCGACTCTGCGTCACAAAAAGATTTAAAAACTTGAAGTTCGGCTTACAGAGGTTCTACTGTTAAAGTTCTAATAAAGAATATTTATTATTTTACTTAATTTTTAAATTGTATCTGAATATAATTTACATGATGAAGATAAGGTGATTTTATTAAAATTATTTTACAGTATTAAATTATACAATTAATCATAAAAACTACATTATAATACATGGAAATAAATTCGATTTTTATTAAATCGTGTGTAGATTAAATCTCAAACAAATAAATCTGAAGATATCGAGTTAGTACATCGTGTCATGTATAGCCGAGCGCATCACCCGCCCCGCGTCCCGCAAACCATCAGGAGGGCCAAGCTTACGGCGGTTTAACTATAAAAACAGTGAGGGAAGCAGACTTTAATATGTTCAAGAAAAAAAATAGTGAATTATTGGTAAACAAATGCTATTATCTAAATTATCTAAACGACAAATTACACGATGACATTTAAGTTAATTTATATTATTACGAGTATTAGATTAAAGTGTATTTGCGAACATTTCATTAGGCCTCGATGTTTGGTTGTAATAACAAAACATTTATTAATTATTCATTTGGATGACAGTTGACTTACTATTTTTACTTTATAACTAGCTGAGACCCGCGGTGTTACCCGCGTTTGTTGTTATAACCGCGGGCAACGCCGCGGGGCGAAGCTAGTCTAAAAAAAGTAGCCTAAGTTACTCCTTATGCCATCAGCTAGCTGCCAGTGAAGGATTGATTACCCGGAACAAACAGACAGACAGACAGACCGACAGACAAAAATTGTAAAAAATGTTATTTTAGCATATGTACCGTGTAAACATACATATGCATTTAGTAAAAAGCTGTTATTTTAATATTACAAACAGACACTCCAATTTTATTTATTTGTATAGATTGACTAAGCTTGTAACTATTATTATGTTTTTTTCGGCCCTATGACATCTTATTTAATTGTTTGTATTGACCTAAATTATTATTTTTTACTCTGCTTGACATAAATATTTTGATTTTATTTATTGTTTTTGCATGCCACTATTCTGGTAAAAAAAATATTTGTATCTTCTACTACCTATTGTAACACCATTTGTCACAAATTTATTTGTAAATAAATATGATTCTGATTCTAAAATTAAGACACTAGTTGTCTATGGTTAAAATAAATTATTTAATAAACATACAAAATAAGGTGTTACCTTTTTAAATGTTTTAGTTTTTTCTTAATTAAGTATCACTATGTTAAATGTCGTAAATCATCGTATAGAACATTTTCGAACGAATCGGCTCGACCGGAGTGTCACCATGTCCTCAAAGGGAACAGGCAATTCTTTTGTAACTTTCCACAGAGTAACGTTATTAGAGCCCAAACCCTCCCACTGATTTTGGGGAGGGAGATTAAGGGCGTATTCTGTGACGCTGGTCAGGTATCCACGGGTTCTTTGTGTTGGATGGACTTGACGCCCATTTCCGAACAGAAATATCACATACCTTACTCTGCGCCTCCGCCTGCATGAAGATAAACTCCCACTTCCTGCTGAACATCTTCTGCAGTCGCGCCAACGACTCCGCCTCGTAGTCGGCCAGCTCCAGCCGCGCCTTGTTCTGCATCGTACGCTTGCACAGGTATACCGCTGTAACATATACAACAACTTATTAAAGAGAACATAAGCTCGCTTGTTAGTCGATATTAGACCTTATTTACTTAATTTTATGGTTTTATTTCAATTACCAGTATAAGTTGAAATGTCATGCTTATTGAAGAAAACTTAAGATCGCCTGTTAGTCGATTCTAAACCTTATTTCATTAACTTTATGATTTATTTTGATGACTAGCATAAGTTGAACTATCATTTTAGGGACTTTTCGTAACAAAACAGGTTAGTTTTTTGTTCTACGGTACATAAAACATGTCTTATTGCCAAATATCATACAAATGAAAGTAATCCTTACAAAAATTTGCTTCGATATTTTTATGATAATATGGTATAGGGATTTTTTGGTATGAGGACAAACTAGTCGTGTCACGTGTCACCTGATGGTAAGCGACTACCGCCACTCTTGACACACGTGAACACTAGAAACTCAAGTCACAAGTGGGTTGCCACCCTTAAATTGCCTCTCTGCTCAGAATTAGGGGAAGGTGGACAATAAGCTACCGGTGACTTCATTCATTTGGTGTAACCGTGGTTCTCCCATGATCTACGAGGGGTTCCTATAAATTCTTCGTCACTTGCAGCCAATATGGACCATTAGAGAGTAAGTTAACTTAGTATTTTGCTTTCTACTATATATTAGTTCATCATCAGCATTTCGTAGTCAACTGCTGGACATAGGTATTATGTTTATATGTGACACCTTAGGTGACACCACCTTTGGTGTTCTTATAAATAAAATAACATCGACTGCACGGATGGCGTAGTCGTTTAAGCGGTCACCTTGCCGCTTCCTACTGCGCTGAGTGTTGTGGGTTCGATCCCCGCATGAAACAACACTTTGTGTGATCCCGAAATTGTTGTTGAACATATTATAATAGAACATACCATAATCAGTATTCTCCGGCTCCCACTGGTTGGATGGCCAAAAATACGGAGTTTGGAACCTGTAACATAATAAAATTGATTAAATACATATACTCACGTCTATTATTATTCCCGAAGGGGTAAGCATAGGTGTACAAAAACGCCCACGTTTTGCCGACTGTAATTTTGGTTTTGCTTACGTCATAAGGGGGGGTCAAGCCAGGACACAGGTATCATTACGTCAAACCTATTGCCGTAGACCGGTAGACCGGACACTTTAAGAGTTACATGAAATCCATACTAATATTATAAATGTGAGTGTGTCTGTCTTCTGTTACCTCTTCACGCGTAAACCGATTTAGATGAAATTTGTTATAGATATAGTCCGAGTCCCGGGAAAGGACTTAGGGTAGTTTTAATCTCAGAACTCCTTTAAGGGGATGAAAAGAAAGTTTGTATGGGAAATCGATGACCGCTGAACTGATTTAGACGAAATTTGATATGGAGATAGTTTGATTCTTGAGGAAAGACATATCGTCTATCGTATATATCATGGAGAGTGCTCCAAGGAATTGTTCAGACTAATTTTCATCGCCATCACTTGGATAATTGGCGCTCTACCACTGTGCGCTTTTCAACACACCTTTTGCCTCGCACAACTAATCCGTGGAACGGGTTATCGTCTGCGGTATTTTCGGACCGATACGACCTTCAAACCTTCAAAAAAAGAGCGTACTCCTTCCTAAAAAGCCGGCAATGCGTTTGTGGCACCTGAGTTGCAGGCGTTCATGGGCGGCGGTACTCATTTTTCATCAGGTGACACGTCTGCTCGCCTGCCTCAGGGAAATCCAGGGAGGGTTTGAATAAGAATTATCTGCTTTATGATCGAAAATAAGCAATGCAAACACCCAATCTCCCTTTTTTTTTGTACCAAGTAATTCTTCAACTACCCTCATGTGGTAAAAACTCACCTGTAATATGTGTTATCATTTTTCACAGTCAAGCAATGATCATCTATGGGGAACAGGTATCCATGGGCGGCTAGAAGGTGGGCCAGGTGTAGAGCCTCCCAGGTTTCTTCAAGATGCAGGTGACGGGTCAGCCACGCAACAAGATCTGCGCCGGTGAACACCTGAAAATTTTTACAAAATAATATTAATAGTAGTACCCAGACACAAAACAAATGACCATGCTCATCACACAATATTTGTCCTGGGTGGGAATCGAAGCCACGACCTCCGGCTTATCAGTCAGGGTCACCACTAGACCAACAGGCCTGTCAAGCATTATCTATATATATATAATTACCTGCCCTGACTGAGACATTCATCAACACGAACTGGAACCGATGGTGTTACAAACTTGAAATGTTGGCAGGTATGCTTTTAATGTTGTAAGCACCCACTAAAGAAGGATTTTTGTGAATTTCACACCTAAGGGGGTAAAATAAGGGTTGAACGGTTATATGGAAGTTCATCACTTTCGAAGTTAGAAACCCGCAAACATTATTTTATTAAAATGCTACTTTTAACAGTCCACTGCTGGACATAGGCCTCTCTTTAGAAAAGAGGTTTTGGCCTACTATACCACGCTAGGCAGACGGGTTGGTAAAGGGTTTGTTTCAAATTTTCCTTCTCTTAGCAGTGCTGTTGTCCTGCGTAGTTAGTTCCCGTAGTCGGCTCTTACGATACCTACGGGATGAATAGGGGTGGTGACACTCCGTATTCTTAATCCGTCACCACACGGGAAATTTGTAGGATACCTATGCCTAAATACACGTTTAAAAAACAAGTTGATTTTTGGAATGCTTATTGTAAAACATAGTATTCTTTCGGTAAAAAAAAAAAAAAAACTTACCGATGGTATCTTCGTCATGAAACTCTTCACAGTCCTCACTGGCACTCCGGTGTTTTCATCTTGCATCTTCTCGATGATTGATTCCATCTGTAACGGCAGTTAATTTTCAAATTTTTCATTCATGTCCTTTTAACCGACTTCCAAAAGGAGGAGGATATATGTTCGGGCATAACTCTGTGATATATAGACGGATTATCGAAATTCTTTTTTGTGTTCTGTTTTTAAATTTTATATAGATGTGATGATGAGTTTCGGAGGCAGACATGTCTGACCCGTGAATCGAACCCGAAATCTCAGCACAGCAGTTGCATACGCTACCACTGCACCACCGAAGCAGCTATTGACGTGTTTATGTTGGCAATACAAGAAAAATAATTGTTTTCTCTATATTTAAAGGGCCTTTCATCAATCATTAATCATTTAATTTAGAATAATCAAGTAAGCATTTAATTTAGAACGTCGACCTCTCAACTACCAACAGCCATAGGAATACAATCACTTTAGAAATGTTTCAAAACACCTGCTGTGATAATAAAAAAAGTTTAACCACATACCTTCTTGTAGACCAAATAGTTAGGTGACTCCTCCGGCGACGGTATAGTGGACATCAGAGCTTGCACTCCGATGGGCAGTGTGGAGACAGTATTCTCTTTTTTGTCTTTTTCTTTTTCGTCTTTTATACATTTTGAGCTGTCTCTGAAATGAGATTAAGAGATTGAAATTGTTGTACAGATTTGTAGCGCAAGTGGCATCGGCGCAATATTGTCCCCTAGGAGCTGGAGATACACAGGGATTTTCTACGCCATCAGAACAAAAAAATATTGTTATTGGACTCGCTAAATAAGACTACTGATAAACATACCTTTATATTATTAAATACATACATCATCATCATCAACAGCCTTTAATAGTCCACTGCTGGACATAGGCCTCTCCTTAGAAAGGAGGTTTTGGCCTACTATACCACGCTGGCCAGACGGGTTGGTATAGGGTTTGTGTCAAGTTTTCCTTCTCTCTGCAATGCTGTTGTTCTGAGTAGTTTGTTCCCTTAGTCGGCTCTTACGACACCCACGGGATGAATAGGGGTAGTGACACTGTATTCTTAATCCTTTTTGTTCCTGTGCCGAAAACCCTTTGGATACCACCCATGGGTGCCTATGTCTGCCTCGAACCGACTGAAAACGGCACGCCGTCGTGGGTACTAGGTGTACCCTAGAAAGGAAATCCCTGGTACCGCGACTTACCTAAGCCCATCTACGGCGGGTAGATGACCCCCTCCTGAAATAAATTACACCTAGACCAAAACAAATGGTAGTACTCATCACAAAATTATTTTTAAATAAGTATTTATACTAGTTTGAAGTCGAATCTGCAACCTCTGAGAAATAATGACCACTACAGCAATAAGCTCATCAGATATAAAAATGGACAAGATAAAAATTTTGTTAAACGGTTTTTATGATGGACTAATAATGTTCTAATTTGTAAAACTGAATTACTGTCAGTTAATCTTACTAAAATCGAACATGGCTGAACCGATTTGACTAATTTTGGTTTTCAAGTATTTGTGAAAATCCACATCTATACTAATATTATAAAGCTGAAGAGTTTGTTTTTTTGTTTGTTTGTTTGTTTGTTTGAACGCGCTAATCTCAAGAACTACTGGTCCGATTTGAAAAATTCTTTCAGTGTTAGATAGCCCATTTATCGAGGAAGGCTATAGGCTATATATCATCACGCTAAGACCAATAGGAGCGGAGCACCAATGAAGAATGTTTCAAAAACAGGGAAAATTTATGACTATTGAGAGACGCAGACGAAGTTGCGCGGGTCAGCTAGTTAAGTATAAACGTTGAAAAAATACTAAAAATGTGAGGAAAATTTTTAAAATTAATGAAAGATGTTGCAATAATGGGGAAAATGTGTTGCTTTTAAGTATACGAAGTTGTGCGGCTTAGCTAGTCTATACAAATTTATGTGTCTGTATAATGTCAAAATAATAGGTCATTCATGCTCCCACGGTTATTTGCATGATACCTGTGCCTAAAAACCGGTTTAATCATTTTTTGTGTCTGTCTGATTTTCCGGGTAATCTTCAAAACGGTTGGAGTGATTTTGATAATATAAAGACTTAGGCTATTTTTTCTTTCATAAAAACCCTATAAAATGTTGCTTTTCAAATTCCACGCGAACGAAGTTGAGGGCACACCCTAGTATTATATAAAAAATAGCAACCCCAAACTGGTAGGGGTACTACGGTTGATCTGATTACCACTAATACTAGTCTTACCTTCTACACTAATCTGAGTGCCTATAAATATCATAAAATCGATTCAGCCTTTTTTCAGTTAAATGAAACATACACAAATTGATTTATGTGAATATTAAACATTGGACTATCTCTGTATGTTTTTACATTTGATTTCTGTGATTTTAAACTATCTATTATTTGTAAATAGAACTTTGTATAGATAACTAACAATTTTATCAAGCCATGTCTTTGTGTATAGGGCAAATTAATAATAATATGTATTGCAAAAGATTCGTTTTCCATTTCATTTCATTATTTATGTATTTTAAACTTTAAACATGGGTTTTTAGGGAGTACCCTGGTACAGTATCTGAATAATCCTGGTATTAGATATGGTATTCATTGTGTAGGTCTAAATTTTGTCATCAACAGGTTTTAACCCCTGCCATGCCACTACACTGTAAAGTGCTTTCACCGGTAAGCACTGTACAGTGTAGCGGCATATCAGAGGATAATAGTCCATTGCTGGACATAGGCCTCTCCAGACGGGTTGGTATAGGGTTTGAATCAATGTTTCCTTCTCTTTGCAGTGCTGTTGTCCTGCGTAGTTTGCCCCTTTAGTCGCCCCTTACGACACCCACTGGATGAATAGGGGATGACTGACATTAGCTAACTTTAGGGTTAACTTCAGAATCCTAAGTGACTTAAACATATATGTAACTAGCTTTTGCTAGTGACTTCACCCGGTTGGGTGGTGGTTGTGGTTGACTTGGGAGTAGTATACCCACTTCCCATTAGGTTCCATTCAAATTTGAAAAAAATCATCAATTCAATATCATGTAAGGCCATTGAAGTGGATGATTTTTTTAAAATTTTTACATACCAACAAATACTTGAAGTTCCGAATTGTCTACTCAGAGCAAAGACAAAATCAGGTGTGAATATATCCTAATATCCTAGGTCATCTATGGCCAAATATTGTATCGTAAATGTATATATATTTATTGTGCCATGAATAAGTTAGAACTCGTTGAAAAATTTGAATTTTCATAAAATCATAGTACTAGATAGCCAAGTTGCTGTCTATTATTTTCTGTAGATAGGTGTGTTCAACATGGTGTGGACGTTGGCTCCTGTAGATAGGGCTGCCATCTCTAAAACCTGCCCCCCAGGACCGGAAGAGTGTAAGCGTTAGAGCTTTGACCCGGGATATTTTAATACTTTTTTCATTCACTTACATGGGACTAATCCCACCCACACGCCCACCACTGTAACTCCTGTACACCAGGATCCACAGCAGTGACCCACGAACACACCGAGTTATGACACTCGGGAAGTCCCAGGAAGAAATTAAACTGTCTTGGAACCCGCAACGAAATTAATCAGAAGAAAATTGGAGGAGTTGGAAATACAGTAAATCCACTTCCCTCCTTAGCAAAGCGGGAGACAAAATGAAGTGAAATAGGCATACACCCTTTTAAACAGGGAAGCACCACGGCCACAAAATATTACGGGTCCTACATGAGCTATATTTGATTTCTATAATATGTATGGCAGAATCGCCTAAACGCACGGAAATTCACCCTAGTTGACACAAGATCCCCATAGTATACCGCCCCAGATGTCACCTGCAAGCTATTCAGCATTATATTACGTTCATTATACCAAAGACTACATTCCCAGAGGATATGATGAGCAGACTGTTCATAATGAGAGTTAGGTGTTGAGCATTGACACAATGGTGACTCGACTAATTTAAATGAATACAACTTGCTCTTAAAGTTACCATGACCCGTAAGAAATTGAGCGACACAGTGATCCACCTCAAGCCATGTCCTCGACAACCGTTCGCGAACAGATGGAAAAAATTGGTAAAGAATTACATCTTGTTTTTGGTACAAAATTTGGTACAAAATTCACTTACATCTTGATTAAAATATATTTTACTCCGTACTTGATAGACCAAACTTTAATTTTAACCTTCTTAGGTATTAAATAAAAGATAAACAAACCCAATATAAGTTACTCATGAAAACTTGTTTAACAAGGGCAGCGCGTGTGGTGAAACCCATAGCTTTTATTTACATAAATTATGGGAACGGGATCTGATATACTAATATAAACAATAACAGATATTTTCATTATCCTATAGTTTATCTTACATCTAAATACAAAATGGAAATGTGTGATACCTATCACACAAAATGTATTCATATCTTATTTTAGTTTAAAAAGCTTGGTTGCTTAAAAAAAGCCTTAAATAGCATAGAAATATAGAAAAACATGAACTTGCAAGATAATATACGGAAACAATGTATAAAACTATCAATATTGTGCGTGTGTGAAACTCTGTTTTTTTAAATAAACCAATGTTATTTAAATGTTTACCTGGATGGACCTTGTTGACAGGCTTTTTGTGCCGCCTTTTCCGATGAATTCATCGTAACCATTTTAATATTAATAATCGAAATTCATACCACACAAATGAAATGTTTCTCGAAATCAAATATTTTTTTCAGTTCGCGCCAAAATCACTTTTCTACATAAACTTTTTATTACTCTTTGGCAACGGTACAGGGTTGTTAAGCCTATAATGACTGCTTCGGTGGTTTATTTTATAACGCCACAAATAGCTGTAAGAGCTGGATTGTTTTGAAATTATCTAAACACTGTTCACTTCCGACCACTGTTTACACAAGGTTTATAATAATTACAGCACATATAAACACAGTTATCGATGCACAAATAATTAATATTTTTGTTCTGGTATTTACGAAGAAAATAGTTTAGATGATTTCAGTTGAGATCCAAATAGAAATATTTCCTTAATCAATACTAAGCTTAAACGCACTTTATCATTATTTACAAAGACTTGAGAGCCCAATAGTGATTTAAAAACACAGTTTTACAAGCATTTTTGGTTTTATTTCAGATTTTGATCCACTTGACTAGGTGTATCGTTTTACTGTTTTTACATTTCTGACACTTCTCGCGGTCTACTTGCAGACACTACAAATGAATTCACACGAAATACCATCAAGTTTTATTTATAAAACATAAATAATAACAACCGATAACAAAATTTAACATTTTGATAATAGCACGAAATGTCAAGAGCGTTCGCCATTTATCATCCCAAAGCTTTTCAAAGCTTTTGATTGAGAAGAGACGGGATATACAAAAACTTTGCAAGAGAAAAAGGGACAAAACGGGAGGAAGTGTAATGCGAATAATCTAAAGAGTCGTAGTGCCAGCTATTCAAATAGGCAAGAAAACACCAACTGAATTTCGCCGATTGATTAAATGAATAGATGGCGCATGTGTTTTAGAAGTTTATTGAACGCCTTATTTGGAGCTAATTTTAGAATGCAAAATATAAATAAAAGGAAATGCCTATTGAATAATTTATCAAGCGTAAACAACTTCCGATTACCAGTAGATATTTATTAAGTGACCTACCTACATGATTATAATTTACAAACAATTTCGATTTTAAAATTCAGTTTAAGTTTAACAAAACATAAGAGATGGCAGCACTATTGAATAGAAAAGCAGCTTTTGCAATCAATTGTCTGATTTAAATTTCTAAAAATCACACAGGAGTATTTTTTTAATACCTCCCACCTCTGGAACTACTTATTTGTAAGGTGTTTTTTCTATACTGTATACGAATTCTAACCATAATCTATGGTTTACATCTACAAATAAATGAGGTCTACGACCTTAACTGTACTCTTCGTAGACTATTTTCTTCTTCAATCTTTATTGACTTATTGACTGTGAGTGGTCAGAACTAGTCAGAACAATCAGTTTCTTATTCCACTGTAATACAAGTTATCATTGATTTATCTTTAGGTGCCAACGTTCATAATTTATAAAAATACACTTTCGCCACAATATTTTGGCGGGAATTACATTTGCTTATTCTGGTTTAGGTTATTCTTGCGGCATAACGAAATGTATTCTTCTTTATGACGGTATGTATAAAGGCTAATATATTATATGCTTGTTCCATAATTTTAATTTGTCAACTATTCCATGCGAGCATGTTAAATATTTTTCAGCTTAGTTTTTACTGTAATGATACTAATCATACTAACTTAATTATAAGCAAATTGTTACTAAGACACTAACACTATGGACTGCATCACTATGGTCTGAAATAAATAATAATTATTATTACTATTTACATATTTTTTATGAGTAAATATATGGCTTTTATATGTACACATGTGTTAATAAACCCAATAAAACTAACATGAGAAGTTACAATAACTGGTAATTATTAATTAAGAAATTAACGATCACATTTTTTGTCCACAGGGAGTCCAGTGCGCACGTAAAAAAACAAAAAAAAAAAGGGCGTCCAGTGCGAGTGTATTATATTATGTATGTATAATATGTATGTATTTACAAAAAAAGTATATATGTATTTATATCAGTTGTCTAGTACCCATAGTTTGTACTAATCGCCATTTAGTCCCAAACTAAGCAGAGCTTGTGCTCTGCTTAGTTTGGGACTAGATGGCGTTGTGTCAATGTGGTAGAATATTATTATTATTTAACTCGATGGTCATTCAACGTAGCAATGCTGCCAGCCTTCTTTGATCACGACCAGTAGGCGATGGTGCGGAGGAGTTCTTTGATACAAAGCATGTTGAGCTTGATCCTGACTATATCGTTTAGTGTATACGATGGCTGAGGCCCGTATGCCGTCTGTTTGGACAGGCCGACTCAAACTATGGTCCTTTCTTCAAAAGGCCAACCCTCACCTTGACATTGTACACGGACTTAAATGAACACACATCTGTGTTTTGTTTCAGCGTTTCTTCTTGAAAGGAGTCTTACAAAATGCTAGCGCCTTCTAGCTGTAAATATCTGAAAATATTTACTAACAGAAATAAATATTTTTTAACATGTAAATAGTTCTCAGCTATACGAGTGGTCACAGTCACGTATTACTTCCTTCCTCTACTTCCCTACATTTCATCACTGTGGCAGTAGTAACTTTTTTGTTTCACGGATGACCCCACAGACAGAGGACCCCAAGTCCGTCCCTGAGCGTATAGCAGATTGAGTAACGGGAGTTGTTGACGGGAAATGTTTACAAACACAGAATAAATGTCAGAGAATGGAACGTCAAGGTTATAAGTGAATGTAGTTGCGCACAGACGCGGAACAAATGTTGCATAAATTGCAACACCAGTTTATGACTATTTTTTATATTAAAAATATACATTTTTTTAAATTAATAGGTACATACTCATCATCATCAGCCTTTGATAGTCAACTGCTGGACATAGGCTTCTCTTTAGACAAGAGGTTTTGGCTTACTGTACCACGCTGGCCAGGCGGGTTGGTATAGGTTTTATTTCAAGTTTTCCTTCTCTTTGCAGTGCTGTAGTCCTGTAAATTATACTAATACAAAATCTAGGATATGCCTATGCCGATTTACAACCGCTCGTTTCCAAGGGGTTGAGCTATGAGAAGAAAGGGCAAACAAACTCATGGCCACTCTTTTACAATTTACAGATAGAAGATACAATGGCATCCTTAAGTATACAAACATTTTTTCTTCTTCTGAAGTATCTATTCCGCATATTAAGGAAGCCTTGACGTATTAATTAAAGACACAGTCCCTCTGTGTATTTCGAGTAAACTCAACTAGTCTCGAAACCGTCAGGTGTCCTTATGAACATAAAGTGTCCTATCTTGTCTATATGCTAATCACAAGACTTTGTGGCGACTCCCACATAAACATACTATAGCGCCATCTAATGAAGACACATCGAACTACGGAGTAACTCCTAAAATAAGAATTGCTAATCCTGTATCGCGATATAAAGAATTCCCGCGCCGGTTAGCATATATACAACTTCCCAACATCAACCGTTGGGCCGCGGCCCGCCAGGCATGATCACCTCGCCTGGTCGGAGGATCCTCCCTTTGTGTTGGAGGGACATGACACCCGTTCCTCCACAACTTTTAAAAGTTCCAAAAAAATTCATTCAGTATTTTCGGAGATATGCGTTAACAAACAAACAGAAAAAACCTAAAAAATCTCTTTTCTTTAAACGCACAGACACGCTCCTCTCTTCTTGGATCTTCCTCTAATCTTATCTACTCTCACATTCTTATATATCGTATACAATCTATCTTTGTATATAAAATTATGCTTGCTATGACTGACTGACTGATTCATTAACGCAAAGCCTAAACCGATGAGGCTACAAACTTGAAAATTTTGGCAGCTGATGCTCCACTAAGAAATACTATTTGGTTTAATTAGTTTATCTCGTTTAAAGCAGAAAATGTTGGTATTGAAATGAAGCTTTTAAAACTAGCATAATTAGGCAGCTCCTCCTCTCTCCTGATAGTGCTGTGCCCGACAGGGTCTATAATTGTTACCTACTTTTAAGCCTACCACCTGAATGTACATTATGGAATGCAATAAATTGAAATTGAAATTGAAAAGAAAGGATTTTTTGGCAACCCTAGGGGGGTAAAATGAACGTATGAACGGTTGTATGGAAGTCATTTTCTAAGTTAGAAAAACGAAATAGGAAATATTTGATGAATCTATAGCGGAACCGCGGGCATTAACTAGTTTCCTACATTCTTAACTCATCACAAATAATTCAACCTTATTGAATGTTTGTTTCAATGTAAAACTTAAAAAAAGACATAGAAATAAAGGACTAGACTCTTCTTCTTCTCCTCCTTAGCCTATTGCCGTCCGCTGCTGAACGAAGGCCTGTAAAAAGACTATGGAAGTGTTATTTGTTTTCTAAAGATGTCCATAATTAATTCGGGATTTAAACAAATTATAATGAAAAAAGTATAATTGCTATTTTTACAAGTTTGACATTTCGAATTCAAATTAATGATTTTTTTTAAACTATGTATTCTCTTAATTAAAAAGTTATTTTTGAATACTATGTTTAGACTCAGACGTCCTTGGCAACGAAGATTGTGATGAATTATAGACATTATAGAGTTATAAATAGTAAATTATTTCACAAGCCGAAGGTCATTAGGACTTACTCGTATATCGCAAAAACTCGTTACAATATTTATTATAAGGAAAGGGTTTCGTCCAACAACCTTGCGGTTTGAAAGTTAATAACCTTGTGATAGTCACAAAGGTATGCTTTTATTTCTTTTTAACAAAGCATTCTTTGTTGTATACAGTTTATAAATCCTATTGAATCTTTTGCAAAATCACCCCCGCCTTTTTAATCAACTTAAAGGAAAGATGAAAAAGGAGGTTCGTACTTTGATTTATGTTTTTTTAAATTATAATGCGGTATAATGCAATAGATAAATTCTGTTGCAAAATAAACGTTTAACAAAAATATCACTGACTCCGAGTGTTGTCCCAATAGCTAAGTTGGGGTTGGCTTTCAGTTTGCTACGACACGGCTGAATTTTGACTTTTCACATGAAGCGA